CCCCTGCCCCGTGTGCCCGCGGGACCGCAGCGTGCCTGCAGCCGTGCGCTGGGTCCCCGCTGCCGCCGGCGGAGGGCTACCGCCGTCCGGTGAAACAGGCCTTCGCTAAGTGCGGCGGAGATGACTTTTGCGAGGGTAAAAAGAAAGAGAGAAAACAAGTGCTTTTTAAAGCAAGTATGTGTTTTTAGTGTATGTATCCCAAGCGTAGCAGCAACAACAACAAAAAGTCATGAAAGCCCAAGCCACCCCCTCTTTTTCTGGCTGTGAAGGTGACAATTGCACAACTTAAAAGCTGTGAATAAGTAGGGAACACAACTAATGGTCTGAATTCCTACTGACGTTTTAAACTTCTGAGGAAATAAAGCAGGATGATTTTTAAGGTGAAAGGCTTTAGCAAGCACTGTTGTCTCTTGAGAATGTGCTTGCCTGTAAAAGCTACACATGAATAGTTAAGACTCTTGTGACTGAAATACTACAAGCCAGTTTGTAATGCTTTATTAAAGATTCGTTATTTTTGCCCATCTAAATGATACAGCTATGTTGCTATAAAAGTGATTATAGTGACATAATTTATTTCTAGATATTATTACACTGATGTAACTCTGTGCATAGTTAGGATTGCAACCACATACAGTGATGACTATTTTTAGCTTTGGCTAAAAAAGTGAAACAAAACAAAACCCCCACCTGTCCAGCATACCACGATAAAAGCTGTATGGAGGCTACGTCTACGTCCTGTTGTTCAGCAGACTTAGGCTGTTCTGTTTGGCTTTGCTCTCCCGACTTGTGACCGCCAGAGAGAAGAGTTGCTATGTATTTGTTACAAACTTTCTGTTCAAACAAAAAGCACATTTAAAATCGTTGTTTCCTTTCAGTTTCATTGGCAATCTAGCAACAGAAGTAAACTATGACTGTAATCTTTTTTCCCGCTGATTTCCTGTACAGCCTTGAAGGAGATTATCTAGATTCAGCAGAAGACTCGAGCGCTTGTCTCTGAATACAGGCATATATGTAAGCGAACTTAGAAACACCTAAATATTTGATTGAATTGGGATTTTTCAGCCTTATTTATCTAGATGTCATAAGCATCTAAACTTTCTGTCAAAACTTGGGGCATTCATTATTTCTGAGAAAAGATATCATTAATATCTCTGCATATATTTTCTCCATATGTAAAATGGAGAGAGAAACCTTGTCTTGAAAGAGTTTGAGTTTTCATTAATGTTTCTTAAGTGAATTGAAGAGGAAAAATGCTATATTGTTTTGCAATCTGATTTAGATGCAAGTGGAGTAAGTGGTGCATGAGCAAGCAAAATGTGAGCACCGCCAAATAAATGACAGTCATGTAAAAACATTCTTTTCTCTACATGTGGAAGCAAACATGGTGATGTATGAAATAATTCTGCTTGTAGTTCAAAACTCCCACTACTTCCTGCTGTGGTTAATTTTGGAATTATCTTTCTCTTAATACAGTCTCTGATATTAAAGACTGTTTTTAGCCTGCTTTGCATGCGTCCTTTTTTGTTTCAGTTGATGGAAAGATTTTGTCGCATAGCACTGAAGCTTTTAAAAACTGCACAGAACCCTTTCATTTTGTTGCCTTTATTAGCATCGCACTTCAAGCAGTTAACAGAATACAAATTGCAGGTTTAATTAAGAGGAAAAATGACTTAAAGATTATAAATGTGAATACCATCTTTCTATCAATGTTAAAAAGGCTGGACATTAGTATCCTCTCTTCAAAGTTAAGAATTATTAGTTGTAAAAATTGAGTTTCTTTTGTATTTGTCTGCTAGATCTAAGTGCATATGCTCTACCTATAACTTGCTTTTGCAACAGAGGTGGCGGGTGGTCTGTGGAAGTTAGTCCACCTACTCAGAAAAAGACAAGTTAAAAGTGTCTTATTTTGGTAAAAATGCTTATCTCTTCTAGCAGGGGATAGCAGTGGCAAAAACATCTTAAATAGCAAAAATCTGCAGCCGCAGACAGTATTTTAAGCAATGAGTTGACTAGCTGTTATGACATGCTCTAAAGTCTGTCTGCCATAGATAGCTTCTTCATTTTTCTCTTTCCTGTTCTGTAAATACCAGTAAGTACCATGAGTTCTAGACCAGAGACAGCGCTAAGTTTTTTGTGCTGTAGGTACAGATGCAGGAAATCTTCCATAATCTTTTCAAGTAATTGAGATACAGGCTGTAATAATTTATTCTTGTAAAATAGCAGTGTATGCAAGCACCTTTATTGTTTTGGGGTTTTGTCAGTGAAGTGATTCATGTTGTAACATTGTAATGTATGGTCATTCTTTGGTTCTACTTTAACTGATTAACAGTATAGCTGTAATTACACTGCAGAGATTTCCACTCCCACCAGGGCTAGAGTCTTGAAAGCTGTGCTGAAGTAATGAATATACTTTACTTTGTATTTTCACTGTCTCTAGTTCAAATTGATGTTAATGTTATTGTCAGTTCTTACATGGTAGGGCACTTTGTCTCTTGCTGGGCTGTAGGGGTATGTGACAGAGGACAGTTGCATTGCTCATTGATAAAATTGCCCAGCCTATCTTTTACTTTTGAATGCTTTCTTTATGAGCAGAATAAATGTTCTAATCCTGTTTGTTTTTTCAGATCTGTTGGTGCTTAGCACTTCCTCCAGCTCCTGGAGAGCGACAGTGTAAATGTCTCTGAATATGGTAAGGGGATATTCCAGCTCAAGGTTTTTATGAGACGTTTAGGTAAAAAGAAAATCAAAAACGCTCTCCTACCCCAAGACTAAGAATAAATTGGCATAGTAAGAACATTAGAGCATTTTGGAGTTACTGTAGTTATTGGTAAATTGAGGAATTTGAGGACTCTCACTGTAGTGCATATGTCCATTCTAGGGAAGCTGTTGCTTGAAAGAGGATTGAAATTTTAAGCTTGGTTTATCAGCTGATTTTGGGAAAAAAATAGTTTTGACGTATTATTTGCAATTAGTGAACATGCCTGAATTCGTTGCTGTTCTTGTGAGATCTCCAATACTGTATAAAGTTACAATATTGCCCATTTGTCAAGTAAAGTAAAAAAAATAAGAAAAATCCAGTTTGCAAGAGAAACTGGGACACAGATAAATTTACCATTTCTTGGCATGTCTTGATTATGGTTCTAGATTCGAATTGCAGCGCTAAATGCAAGCTCCACGATTGAGGATGACTATGAAGATAACTTCAAAAGTCATAAGACACAGACGAAGGAAGCTCAAGTAAGTAAACTCACTATTTTCTTATTGGGTGTAACTGATGGGAATTTTGTTTTCTCATGTAATCTCTAGTTACAGGGATTTGTTCATTCTTATTTTCCTCCTAAGAAAGGTGTGTTAATGTCTCTTGAAGTTTGCCTTTAGCAAGCTAAAGCTTCACTCAGATGGACTGTGTTGAGTCAGTAAGGTTGCTTTTCTGCTATGCTAATAAAAACTTATATCATACTACAGTACTTCCAGTACAAATGAGAGGGAGCTGGGAGGTAGGACTTGGATCTTCATTTCATTCTGTGGTCTGTCAGGTACCAGTTTTGCTCATGTTAACGGCTTGTTACAGACCTGTAACATTGCCACTGTACTGTAGAATGTTTCAGCTGCTGGATAGGCTGTAGAATGAGGTAGATGTTCTTTATTTATCACATGCTCCTCCGTTTTTGGTGTAGGTATCTGTAATGCTGCATAGATACAGATAGGGTTTCTTTTTCCTTTTTTTTTTTTTTTTTTGTTAAATAATCTTCTTTGGTGCCTAAGAAGTGGATCCTAGATGTTATTTTGAATTAAAAATGCTCTATGGTTAGTTCTGAACTCTGCCTGTGATGTTCAACCAGCTGGCTGCCGCTGTCTTGGCTGCCAGATTGGTCCCAAAGGCAGGAAGGCTGAACTTCCATTTTGGTGAGTGTATTAATGGGATTTGTGTCTCTGTCCACCTGCCAGGCTTCATAAAACTCCCAGAAACATGGTATCTTTTAGAACTCTATGCCTTTGTCAAATTTAACTTAAATTTAATACAGAATTCCAAAACTCTCTGGAGGGGGACTGATATATAGCAGAGAGCACTACTAAAGCACTACTGTTTTTCCAGAAGCCCATCTGAAAACCAGTGAAATGGATGCAAAAATGATCCAATCTTGTTTGCAAGTGCAAAAACACTGCTGTTCATAGTAGATGTAAGTATGTTGTCATATTTAATAAAATCACCCTACGGAATAGTTTCTGATGTTTTAAACCACAGGAAGCAGAAGCTTTTGCGTTGTACCACAAAGCTTTGGACCTCCAGAAACATGACCGTTTTGAAGAGTCTGCTAAAGCTTACCATGAGCTTCTTGAGACTCGTCTTCTGAGAGAGGTCAGTGAAATCTAGAGAATGAAAATAAAAAGTAACTGTCTGTATATTTTATTTCTTATTGGCTAACTAGAAATGTCAGTGTTACTGATGGGTTATTGACAGGTTATCCCCTGGCCCCCCCCCCCTTTTTTTTTTTTTTTTTAAAACTAATCAAATTCCTAATGCCCAGGTTGTGGTTTTCTAATCATTTCTAGGCAGTTCTTTCTGGTGATGAGAAAGAAGGGCTGAAACATCCAGGCTTGATGTTAAAGTATTCCACCTATAAAAACCTAGCACAGCTGGCAGCACAGCGGGATGACCTAGAGACAGCCATGGAGTTTTATTTGGAGGTACAGTCCAGTTGAAATGAAATAGTGGCACCTCAGTGTTTACAAAAACCTGCCAAAATACAGATATGTGCCTTTCAGCATACTTAATGAGTATGCATGAATTCTCTGTGCTTTTGGACGTTATATGTGTCATAACTTCCCCATCATTCAGTCCCCATCCCAATACTGTTCCTGTTGAAAACCAAAGCAGTGATAATCCCTAGAGATAAGCAGGTATGCATGTCTGAAATGCAAATAACGTTGTTTGTTATGCCTTCTAGGCCGTAATGCTAGACTCGACTGATGTCAACCTGTGGTATAAAATTGGCCGCGTAGCAATAAAACTAGTCCGCTTGCCTTTAGCTCGTCATGCTTTTGAAGAAGGTCTCAGGTGTAATCCTGATCACTGGCCTTGTCTAGATAACCTTGTCACAGTCTTGTACACGCTCAGTGACTATACGAGTAAGTACAGCTTTTTGTTAGCTTGTTTTTTAGAAACGTCTTAAGAGATGTTTAACTTTGCGTATCAATAAACAATGTAAAACAATGCAGTTGTACAGGAAAAAGCGTATCTTGAGTAAAGATATAGTACATTAGGATACAGTGGGGATTTTTACTTCATAATAAAGTACGAGGATTTGTAATCGATTCTGGTTACCCCAAAAACAAATGTAGTATATGTTGTTTACTAAGAACTATGAGTGGAACTGCATTTTGATGCTGGATCTCTCTGCTTCTGATTTGAAAATGTCTTTTTCATTTAAAAAAAAACAAAACAAAGCTGCCCAACTTGCATATTTGTAAGTTCATCAGAGCAAGCTACAAATGGTGAATAAAAGGAAGGAGAAAGGGAAGGAAAACTGTCAGACTTCTGTGTTCAGCCAGGAGTCAGGTGGGTGAATTTCACCAAAGGATATGCTGCTGTCATGGAAAGTGATTGAAGTGGACTACAGAGCATATTGTCCTTGATAAATGAAATCTGAAGTAAAGGTATTTGAACTTTTACTCCAAAGTCTATCAGCTGTTAGATCTTCCATGACTTGCTTCATATAATAGGACCTGATCCTAAGTCCTCCGAAATCATTAGAAAGGTATCTTTCACCTTAGAGCTTGTGGACCAGGTCTTATACAGCCAGAACCAGTCAACAGATAGAGCATTTTAGTTCTTCAAACAAACAAAAAAATCACTCCACTGTTTACAGAGTAACTTTACAATGTAACTTAGCTTTTGCTGCAGAACCACTGCAAGATTCTTGGAGTTGTATGTCAGTCTGGAAGCAGCAGGAAGAATCAGGAGCTGGGAACTCTTGAGTTCATTAGTCAACAGAATAGTGACAGCTTCTCTTCCTTTTCTATTATCACTGAAGTTGCTATGGTGTATTTAATATAATTATGGTCATTTGAAGGTGCGAGCCCTAACTGTTAAAGACCATATATGTGCTTCCATTTCAAATATATGCGAAAAGATCAGAATTGTAACTTTTGGCAGTTCTAATGTATCTTTGTGCAGTAAGAAAGGCAACAAGAAAATGGTGTAGTACAAATAATGAAACGTGAGATCACAGAGAGGACAAAGGAGACTGCACTGCTTCATTACACTGCCCCCTTTTTTAACATTGTTCTTAAAGAAATCAGTGCTGTCAGAACTGCACTCTCTCTTCATCTATCTAATGAAATGTTAGTATGGAATGGGGATCGCGCAAGGTTATTTCTGTATAACAACTGCCATTCATTTCTTCTGGAATTTTAGCGGAGAATGATGTCTTATAAAACTGCTCACCTCAGCTGTGCTGCTTTCCGGCATATTTGAGGTACCCCAAACTTTAGGAAGCTGAACTATCTGCTGTTCCTGGAGAAGAATTCTACTTGACCTTCAAAATGAGCAGCCCTACAGCATTAATACCATTTCATTACCATTTCCATTGTTGCTGCATTTTCTGTATCTTTAGGGAATATGCAGACAGAATTTTCACTTCTTTCAATACTTCGGCATTGCATAAGGACCAGTATATTTCTATACGAGACTGCTATAATGAGTGAAATTGTCTTTGCTAGTGAGAAATTCTATGTAAGTGGAGTTGCCTGAACTTAAGTAAGGGTTCTATAACGGAGTTCTATCGAAGTTTCCTTGATACTTTTTTTCCTTTTTTAGTAGTTCTCTTTCCTCCGCTCCCCTCATTGAGGAATGTTTAATTTTGCGTGGAAGGGCATTTATTTCTATGAAGAATAATCGCTTTTCCAAAACACCTTTTTTGTTGTTGCTGCTGTTGAAGTTAGTAAGATTTGGAGCAGAAGTATCATCTGGACATATGATGTATTGGTCATCAGAGCCTCTACAGAAAGCTTCCTTATAGGCTGCTCTCTCTCCTCTTGATGTGTGTGGGGTGTTTTGTTTTGTTTTTGTAGTCATTTCCAGCTACATAGTTCCAGGATTTGGGTATAAAACTACAGTCTAGTTCATAGCCTAGTATAGTTAATTATAGTTGTAGTGGTTGATACAAATGACTCCCAAATTTTACATTTGAATTATATCTGTTAGATGAAGATGATTCAAATGAAGTTTAGGAAAGAAGGTGCAAGATGGAAGAAATGTTGAGTCTGATCCCCTAGGTTTGCCCTATTGGAGTGGTCCTAGTTCTCTTAATGTGATAGCTCATGTGAGCAAAACGTAACATGAAAATGCTAAATGACTATGATTCTGTTTTACGATTTTAACTTCTTTTGTGCAGGAATGAGTGTCTTGAAAGTAAATACAAGATATAATACAAAAAAGCTATGTAAATGAAATTGCCGATGCTCTTTTCTGGATATAACATTTGGGAGGATATAATAGATTATTTTACCTGTATCCTCACCCGTTTAATTTTTTGGCAAATTACTATTTGGCAAAAAGCTGTTGGTCTGTGGAAATACCGTGTTTAGTTGGAATTTAGTGGTGTGTATATAAAGGCCCAAAATGGGAGCTTTTGAATGAGCCGAAGCGGCAGATTGGCCGTTACGTTTTTATTTCTCTTTTAGCGTGTTTGTACTTTATCTGCAAAGCTCTGGAAAAAGATTGTCTATACAGCAAAGGACTGGTTCTGAAGGAGAAGATCTTTGAGGAGCAGCCTTGCCTCCGGAAAGATTCCCTAAGGATGTTCCTCAAATGGTGAATCCTATAGTTTATACAGCATTTGAAGTGAAAATTTGGGGTTTGGGTTTGTTCTGAGAAGCTGGTGCGATATAGTTCTTTAAGCTAAAACAATATCTTGCTAACCTGTCAGCTAAATTAAAAAAAAAAAAAAAGCAATATAAATTATTGCTGCTTGGTGTGTATATAAAGGCCCAAAATGGGAGCTTTTGAATGAGCCGAAGCGGCAGATTGGCCGTTACGTTTTTATTTCTCTTTTAGCGTGTTTGTACTTTATCTGCAAAGCTCTGGAAAAAGATTGTCTATACAGCAAAGGACTGGTTCTGAAGGAGAAGATCTTTGAGGAGCAGCCTTGCCTCCGGAAAGATTCCCTAAGGATGTTCCTCAAATGGTGAATCCTATAGTTTATACAGCATTTGAAGTGAAAATTTGGGGTTTGGGTTTGTTCTGAGAAGCTGGTGCGATATAGTTCTTTAAGCTAAAACAATATCTTGCTAACCTGTCAGCTAATAAATTATTGCTGCTACTGGCAGAATATTCTGCAGTAATTACTTTGGAGGGGGGGAGGTAGAAAGGGAAGAAAAAATCCATTTGCTACTGCTCACTTATTTTCATACCTATATCTATTTTAATCTGTTACTTTGTTTCATTTTATTTATGTATTTGTAGCTGATATCTGCAGCATTCAAAAACTCGTCTCTTCCATTAGAGGAAGCTTCTCTCCTAATTCAAAAAAACTTTACCACTTTTTGAAGGACTTACAAATTTGGGACTTAATGCAACTTTTTCATATCTATATGGTATCGAAGAGCCCTGCTCATTTTTAATGACAAATGAGTACAGTCATCAGACTTTATAAATGTCATTGGTGTCCAAGATGCAGCAATTCTTGGAGTTAATTAAATTTTCAGACTGCTGTAATTCTGGAAGCTATTTTGCAATATTATGTTTGAGATTTTATTCCCTTATTTTTATTATGATGTGCAAAACTTTTACTAAAAAAGTTTGGTGTGGTACAGCTCCGCAAGGAAGACTATCTCTTTCTGTGCAGATTTCATAGTATGAATGAGTAAGAAGAAAATGGGAGAAAAAATAAAGGCCCATAACATTTACGTCAAGCGTCCAAGTTAACTGACAGTTCCACAGCAGAGCTACTTCTGATATCTAATGTATTGCTCTGCTAATCAGCAGAGCTCAAGAAATAAGTTTGGGTTTTAATTTAATTATAGTTCAGTCTTACTGGATATAGTAATCAACTGCATGTGCAGGTAACATCCGTACTCTGTGTTAATGGGATGTGGGTAAATTGAAGTGGAATGCACATCCTAGCTCATATCCTTGGTTATGTAATAAATCGCTCAAAAATAAATTGACCGTTTTGGACTGCTTTAACATCTAAAATGTGAAATATAGATTATTTAGAGCAAAGATTTAGAAGAGAAAGGATAATTTCATTTTTAAGGCTCAAAGGTTCCAGGTATAGCAGTAGGCCTTTGGCAGAAAGCTTTGTTTAGTAACAGAAACCCTAAGTTATTAAGATACCTTAGGTCTGGCTCTTAAAATGAGTTACATGCTGAATTAAGCCAAGGCTTTCAGCCGCTTATTTTCTTCTGGATTGTGATATCTCTGAAAAAAGTGGATTATTTGTAACTTCCAAAAATTTATTCCTAGACTTGGAATACACAAGATAGTTTTCAAACCCAAATTATATTTGTGGTGAAGTGAAATTGCTCAAAACAGCACCTTGGAATGAAACAAATTTTTCAGCCGTGTATAATTTTTTTGTTGAAAATTTTATGAGCCATCACTGTTCAAGAAAGCAAACAAAGAATCCTGCTTCCCTTTCATTTCTCAGTATTTGGAAAACAAAAGAGGAAAGTCTCACTTCTATATGTGTGCTATAAAGCTTGTAAAATAATGTCCTTTGAATGTTTGTTCTAATACTGTTTATTTTTGCTACGCTGAGGAAAACCTCAAATGTTTATCTCCAGATTCAAAAAGGCTTAACTTGTCTTCATTTCTTACTATTTTTTTTTAGTGACATGTCTATTCATAACGTAAATGTGAGTGCAGCTGAAACAGGAAGAATCCTAGATGAAACACTGGAGCTACGTAAGAAAAGACAGGCTTTGCTAGTGCGAGACAGAGAACCAGATCTCAAGCTTGTCCAGCCAATTCCCTTTTTGACGTAGGTCTTCCTATTTTCTTTTTGCAGATGGCTTTTCTGAAGTCACTTGAGGCGCACCACAGTTGTCAGCCTAAATTTCTTCAGAATGTCTTTTTCCTGTAAAAAACCAAACAGTATTCTCATGTTTTATCAGTCCATAGGCTGTTTTCTTCTGCTTGTGCTTTTAATGTAAATCCTCTATCTATCAGTTTTAACCTTTGAATTAAAACTGCAGCTGGATGTAAAAAACATCTCTAAGAACGATTTGGCAGCTGTTTCAGCCATATTATTGGAATTTTCCTATATTGCTAGCTAGTTTGTGAACTTCAAAGTAAGTTTAGCTTTTTAAAAATGCTTTCACTGTCTGGATAATGGAAACTTGGAAACAAATTACAGTTCATACAGCAAGATATCTTAAATAAAGACGTAAGAAATTATTTTAATATACAAGAGGCTTGATTTTTATTTTTTATTTTTTTTTGCACATATTTGCCTCTACTATTATTGTGTTCCGCAAGCAGGTCCTGTTGAAGAGAAGTTGCTTCTAATTGTAGATAAGATTGAGATATTTTGTTATTTTTGTTGATGAAATACAGGACCTACAGCAACTATTGCATAGGTTATTTTTGTTAGAGACATTTTTTGAGATTAGGCACGTCCTCATCTCGCATTTCCTTCCTATTGCAGCTGATTCACCTGTTTTATCTGAAAGCTTTGTGTTGCTGCTTGTTATTCTTGTGCTTTTTAAGTGGTATATTCTAGAAAGAGAGCCCCTAAGAACCTCTGTCCCAGGCTTGACATTGTCAATGATCCGTATGACAGAAAACTGAAAGATGTTCTCCAGCTTCTCAAGTTGTGGGACAGGTTTTGACTCTCAGATATGTATTCCTCTTGCGTTGCTGAGCTACGCTTTCTAACTGCAAGCTATCAGAGAAAAATAATGCTGAATGCTCTCAGGTTTATAAATATAATATAGAAAATAATAGGAGAAGAGTTAATGAGATTATGATGCTGTTGCATTTTCTTGTGCAGGTGGAAGTGTTTAGGAGAAACTTTACTTGCCATGTATCACCACCTCACAACATGTGACCCTCCTCGACCTAGTCTCGGAAAGAGAATTGATCTCTCGGAATACCGAGACCCAGTTCAACACTTGATTCTTTCTCCTACCTCTACTCCTGTCAGTGTTATTCAGCCCACTCCAGTCAGCACTAATCCAGTGGTGACAATGCCAGATCCTGTATTAACTTTTACTCCAGTGACACCCAATTTTCCAAGTCACAGTCAGAATTTATTGGAGCCAGGAGCTGCTGTAGGCGAGCAAGGTACTTGAGTCTGAGATTCAAGATATCTTTCCTGCTTATCTGGGTATAAAAAGCACTACAGAACGCATTGGGGAATGCTGTCTTTAAAATACTTCCTGGTAAGATTCAGAACCTTTTCAGTGTGCATGTCACACATAGTAGAAGAAGGACAGTTAAGCTCCATAAAGCTAAACTGTTAACAATTCATGTTAGGGAAAGTGAAAGCCACCTACACTGCCTGAAAAATCATTGGTTAACAACTAAGTCATAGGACCAGTGTTCAGGACAGTGGACTTACTTTCCTATCTAGATTTGGGAGTCAAAGTTATTTATTTATGTGTGTGGGGGGGGGAGTTTGTTTTTGGTTTGCGTGGGGTTTTTTTGGTTTGGTTGGTTGGTTTTTTCATTTGTTCCCCCAGTGCAGCTTCTGGCTTTGTGCAATTGACTCACGCTTGCGTTTTCCCATCTTTAAGATGAGAAGAATCATATCTCCTTTCTAGCAGTGATTAATATCAATTTTGTTAAGATTGTCTTGAGCTGCTTAGAGAGAAGGAGCTGTTATAAGAGAAATAGGTTATCCACTTTGTTTTGTTCAGCAATTTGGACCTTTCAATATCTTTTTATTTTTTTTTTTATTTTTATTTTAATTCTTTTATTAGGTGACGTATCTGCAGGTGATAAGTCTAAGAAAGGGGTGAAGCGAAAGAGAATTACAGAAGAAAGTGGTGAAACAGCAAAAAGGAGATCTGCTAGAGTCCGGAATACCAAGTGTAAAAAAGAAGAGAAAGTTGACTTTCAAGAGCTGTTGGTGAAATTCCTTCCTTCTAGGTACAGTACAGCAATGTTTTTCTTCAGTTTTGGGAGCATCAAGGGCTATTTAGAGGAAACTGTTTAGGGTTTTGGTTGATAGATATGCCCCGACCTTAAAAACGCTAGGCCCATATTCCTTTCAGAAGGAAAAGTGATGCAATGTCTTTTTATACATTTATGAAAATTGTTTTCAGTGAAAATTATTTAAGAAATAATTTAGAAATAAGAAAGCTTTTATTAATTTGAAACTGAATTAGAAAGCAATACATGTGTCAGATTGGATGAGATCCACAAACAAAGTAACCTTGATTTGGAGTCAAGGTACAGTATTTCAGTCAATTCATATGAAAAATAAATGATCCTCATAAATTCTAAGACGGCTCTAATAATGAGGTGTTTATAGTTCTTAGCTAAACAATTTGACCTGAATCGATTCATTCTATATTGATAACATAATAATGAAATCAAATTTTTATTCAATAACCAGAGCACTGTCTCAGGATCATATATAAAGCTTTCTTATATTTCAAGTTTTTTGTTGCTTTTCTGTTGCACTCTTGCATGTTTATCCTCTCCCTGCTGTACGCACACTTTAACAGGACACTGCCAGTGGGAATGTACTTAAAACAAACAAACAAACCAACCTGCACAAGACACGTTTCTCAGGAGTTTAGAACACTGCTGAAGAAAGAGAAGCTTTTCATTTACGGAAATTAAAGTTTACTTGAGGTTTCCCCCTTTCAGGGGCCTGTCTTTGCTTATTACAGAGTCAAACTTTCATATTATCAAGCGAAAAGGTGAAATGGAATGGAACAGCCTTCTTTGCTGTTCAGTCTTGTGAGCAAGGAAAAAATGTTATTAAGAAGAACAGTGAGCTTACAAACTTGCTAACTCTTGGATACTTATAGAGTAGGAACTGAAGTTGCAGTGAAGCAGCTAGATAGAAATGTTCTTGCTCTCACAGTCCATCTTGCTATTGGTGTCTTTCTAACTTGAACGGGTTGGTTGTTGGTGGTGCAAATGATCCCCAAGATGTTCAGTCATGGGAATTTTGGAATGTGAGTCTTCTGTGACGTGCTTTTTCAATATAAAGAAAAGCAAGACTGCTTGGTTTTATCATAAATTGGATTTCATGTTCTGTCTGGCAGTGGCTCCTTTTGTTTGTGAGCAAATTGGCTACTATCTGGTTGACCTCACATTAAGCTATTAAGCAAAAATTCTTGGTAATGCTTTGTAAAACACCAATTATTTTTATCCCATACAGATAGCAAGTCCATGATTCCATGCAAAATATATATTAAGAAAATCATTCTCTCTGACATCACTTCCAAAAAAGTAAACGAGTCCTTTCATGGTCAAAAGATTGTGAAATGATTTAAATGTTTTTGTTTTGTTTTTTTTGCACATTTTTGACGTGCAAATTGCAATCACCTGATTGGACATGCAAATTGAAATAAATCTGACATGCAGATTGAAAGCCTGTCTTCCTTTTGCATTGTGTATTAGGTTTCAGGATTATTTAAGTTAGCCTACGTTGCTTTAAAGAAAAAAAATGTTGCTGTCTGAAATAACAGTACTGTTTGTTTATTTCAAAAATTAATAAAAGCATTGAAAGCAGGCATGTCATTTTATAAAGTTTATTTATAGAGCCTTAAGGTTCTGTAACTTTGCTTTCTATATTCTTTTGCTTTTAGATATGTTGGTCTTGAATCTTTCTTGCCCTGGCAAAACTTGAACTAGATTTAAACCTCTGGATGTGCTTCATTTACCATACTTTTGCTGTTAAAATATGCGTGACGTGCCATGTTTAGATTTCACTCACTACTGAAAGAAAGAATGAGGATTTTATTGGTATTATATATTTGCTCTCCTTTCACCTAGATTGAGGAAATTAGATCCAGAGGAGGAGGAGGACCCTTTCAATAACTATGAGGTGCAGTCAGAGATCAAAGAAGAGAATTTCCAGCATGTTGGACCACACAGAATGTCATTTGATTCTACAACGTTTATGGAATCTGGTAGGGATTTCATTATAAATCCTTGTTTTCTGTTGGTTCTTCCCTCTTGTATGCTTTATTTTCTGCATCTTCCTGTCTTACAGCCAGAAGAGACAAAAAAAAAAGCATTATTCTAAGAAGTGTCATTTTATGAGGTGGAAATACTTCAGTTGGTAACAGATAGAATTTCTGATTTCTCATGGACTGCTTAGCTGTTCTGTTTAAGAGCTATATTGCATGTGTGTTCCCATTTGAACATATTAGAATGCAGTAACCTAATTCAGTGTGTATGCAGCACAGAAAAACTAGTGCAGCCTTTCTGCAAGATTAGTGTGTAAAACACTTGCTAGTGAAACTAACTTGATTCAAGTCATGGTCTGTCTTGACCTTAAACATGTATGGCTTTGTATCGATCTGCTTTCTAGAGAAACAAAATGTTCATGAATTCCTAAAAAAAAAGATATCTAAAAGTAATCAGCCAAAAGTTCCTGGTAAAGTGGCCTCCTGGCTTGTCTGAGGTGGTTCTTAGTATTTATAACAGCTGGAGAAAGCACAGTAGTAGTCTTCCCAATCCCTTACTGAGGGACTCAAGTAATCAACATATCAAGGTAACAAAGTACTCTTCCTTATACTGCTTTTACTCTTCCTTATACTACTTTTTCCTTATACTACTGTATGACTCTGGGTGGAAAGTACCTAACTGAAATCTCCAAATTGTATTCAGGCTTTCCTTAGCTCTGTCTGGGGTACTGTGTGCCCTAGCTCCTGCATTTTTCATAAATTTTGGTGTACTGCTGCTCACATAACTGTTACTGAACTCCTGAACATATCTTGGTGATACTTTACTATAGTTGAGTATATTATATTCATGATATGTGTATATATAAGCATATATACATAATATTTATAATATATACTTAAAAATATTTTACTCCTTTACTCTGTTGCCCTTTCTTTTCTTCTGTTCCCTCCCTCCCTCTGCTCTGGAAATGGCAAAAGTTTTCTTTTGTCATCAGGTGAGTGGAAAAGCTGCCATATTGTTTTTTTGTTTATTTGTTTTTAATATATGTCGTAGTGCTGATTGTGGGTCAACGTATCTGCTCTACATAGAGAAAAAAATTATTATCTTTTAAATAACCTACAATTAACAGTAAAAAAAAATTAAATTAAGGAAAACACTCTTACTGACTTTTTACATCTCCATTTCACAAATGCAAATAGGAAAGCTATTAAGTTCATTAATTTAATGTTGAACATAGGCTTAATGGTGCAAGGTACTTAAAGCATAAAATCAGTACTGATGCTTCTTGTCCGTTGAGTATGTGTTCTTCATGTGCCTATCTCTAGGAGATCAGCAACATGTATTAGTTTGGAAAGTTTGTTTTTTTTGTCCTTAGGATGACTGCAACTCCAGATAAATTTTGTTTTCTATCAAAAATATTTCTACTTTTTTGCAAATGTAAAATGAATTGTGAAAGCTGTATGTCAATGACTTGGTTTAAAAAAAAAAAAAGTATTGCGGTGTGGGAAGTGTTAAAACACCTTATACATCCTGTGTTTGCTTTTTATATTTATGTATATTTTCATATATATTCACATTATATTTTCACATTTGTAAATATACTTATTTCGGTTAAAATATCAGATATTTCCTTGGTTCTCATCAGGACCCTGTTAACTTCTTGCTTGTATGTGAAATTTAATAACTGGAAAGTCTTGATGTTTTATATTAAAAATCGATATTCTCCTTCTTGCCTGTTCTTGTTAATCCTTGAATTTATTTTAAACTGGATCTATAAACTATCCTGATTCTAATGAATTTGGGTTTTTCAGTCTATAAAGGAGTATTCGGGTAAGATGTACTACAGACATTTGAACCTTTTCATGAGCACCTGCTTTTTCCAAGTGGACCTGTTGCTATGGATGCAATTAGAAAATAGTATATCCTTCACTGCACAAAACTACCGTATTGTTGAGATCTGTAGTTACGGTTTTTTAATATGCTCCTGAATTATATCCAGCAAGTGTTAAAAAGCTGATAAAACTAGAATACGTGTTCAGTCTCATGGAGATAAATACTGAAAAAAAAAAAAAATTAGGTCTAGACTTCTTACTTTTTAAATGTCAGTGCTTCTGTCACATATTCTAGAAACATGCTTCTAGCATGATTTAACGTTTTAATATAGATTAGTTCAACCTGATGCAGTAGTGAGGATGTCAGTTTTTTCCAAGATCAGGCGTTGCTTCACTGACTACATTATTTTATGGGATTTTTCTGAAATTTTTCATTGCTACTTCTAAGTGTTGTTGGTGCTGTTGCTTTTTAAATGCTGTTGTACACCTTTCTTTAGACAGAGATAAAAATAGCAACAGCTTAGAAATAGAAATCACAAGACAAGAATTTGGAAGGCTTACTTTCAAGTAAATTGCAAATTCAGTTTAAATTCTTTCTTCTTTGTTTCTGTAGACCCTTTCTTGATATCTTCATGCTTTTTTTGCAGGATATGATGTTGATGAGCCTTTCTTGCATGGAATTGCAATTAGATCAGTGGCTATTGACCAAAGGGAAGAGCTCTACAGGTGAGAATCATATATTTCTTACATTAAATTCTAAAAATATTCTAGGTAAAGGAAGAGTGTTTTTTTTTCCCCTAGGAATTTGTTAGATTTCTTTTCTTAAAATCTGAACAGATACTCATCTTTGGTCTACGAATGTTTAAATTAAAATAGATCAGTACTTTTGAAATATTGGTATGTGGGACACTTCATGGGATGCTAGTAATTTTGTGATAAAGAATAATTAATTGATTTGCAGTTTCTCCACGGAATTGCCCTGCTGCCTCTGTGAATGGAAAGTTTGGTCCTGACTTCCCAGGAACTCATTTCTTGGGAGACCTATTGCAATTGTCATTTGCATCCTCGCAGCGAGATCTATTTGAGGAAGGCTGGATGGAGTTTGTGACTCGGGTGTATTGGCTGAAAGCTCGCTTTCTAGCACTGCAGGTTGGTTTTACTTTTGAATTTAACAAGTAAAATTTTCCCAGCAGTTAAAACTAATGTTGTTCAGAGACACGCTACAGGAATCTCGGCTCCTTTAAGTGCGGGGATAAAATCAATTTAGCACACACCAGTTTCATCTTTCTTCTTGATATAATCAGTCATCCCTAAGGGTAGAGGTGGGAATGAAGTAGGAATTTTCATATGCTAAGCTAGTATTCAGATGTATGTAATAGGTACGTCTGTGTTTAAAGTAGCCACTATTCAGCTTACAGAAATACATTTGGACTAAAGTTATTTGCAGTAGTAGCATGTAGCTGCAGAACAGGAATTAACTTTCAAATTGAATTTTGGGGATGCTAGTGGATACTATAATAAAGTTCCAAAGAGTTCAAAGTGTAGCTTCCAATTGAAGTAAATTTTATGTTAATTGCCACCCCCTTCCTCAATGCCCCATGATTCTTCTTTTGAAGATCAATTTCATATACAAATTTCTAAGCAGAGAGTTTTAAACCTATCACTAAGGGAAGCACTTGAAGGAAACGTTATTTGATCTCAGACAAGCATTGCTTTCTCAGGACATCAAAGAATTTGTTTACATATCAATTATATTTATAGTAGTCCTCAACTAATAATATGAGTCAAGTTCCATATACATGAACTGACTGGTTCCTTCCTTACTTAGTTTTTACATCTCAAGATTTCTTTCTAACAAACTTTTTTGAGGGGAAAAGAAAGTTTAGTGAGTTATACTCAGGTATAGTGAGTTATACTTTTGCCTGTGCAGCTTGCGTTCCTCTCCTGGCCGTTTAGCTTTAGTATGTACTTCAGCTGGACAGAGCAATCGGAGTTCAGTTCACTGATTATAAGAATGTTTGTTGACTTAACTGTTTTGTTTTCTAAATATCAAAGAGTCACTTCTACTGTTTTACTCTTCCGTGTTTTTAAAGAGAGGGGATTTCAGTCAGTCTAAATGAATCTTTCAGATGTATGCAATTCAAAATATTTTCCCCTGATTTGTTTCTGCTATTATAAAAGTCCTTGGTAAGATATACTGCTAAGTTTCTTATTGGAGACTGTTGTGTGGATTGATTGGTTATATTTCAGAGGATACTCTGTGCATTAATCACACTGATAGTGCCTGCATTGAATTTAAATATTTCCTAGATGCTTTGGAAAACCTTGCTGCAGATGGTACTCTTCAGGTTGTCTTCTTCTGTACTGTTTCTGTAGGGTGACATGGAACAGGCGCTTGAAAATTATGATATTTGTACTGAAATGCTACAGAGCTCCACTGCAATACAAGCCAAAGCTGGCAATGAATGCAGCATTGTAATCCGGTTACCTAATCTACATGTTGATTCTGTTGTTTCTTTAGAAGAGGTAAGAATTAATTCGTAGGTGTATTCTTCCTGTTCCATTCCACCCACTTTCAGAGGTCATCTATGAAGTAGCTCTTTTGTGATGGAATTTTACTGTACTTGTCTTAAGATTTTTCTAAGAGTAAAAGGTCAGGTTCATAGTTAAATGAGGCAGTTATCTCCTTTTCAGAAAGATACTTTTGTGGGTCTGTTGGTCGTGTACAACTTAAGGTTGCTTTTATGCAAAATTAAAAGCATTTTTGTTAGAGCTGCTCCATGTGGAACAGTAGATTATTAGACTAGTGTTATAAGTTTAAGAACAGCTTGAAAATAAATTTCGCCATTGCTTAAATGAGCTCTTGACTTCAGCAGTCAGTGTTTTCCACATAAAAAATGGCATATACTTTTAAAGAAAGGAATCTTCATCTTCCGTTCTTCTACTGCTGTTATTGAGGATGAACTCCAGCACGGAGGATGCCGTCTTCATTTTGAAGTCCTTCTGATGAGTTTTCTTGGCAGTGTAAAAATGTGTGATTTGGGCGAGGCGGTAGGGGGTGGAATAGAGTTTAAAGTTGTTACAACACTATAGTCCTGTATAATAATTAAAATGTAATCATTAAAAATATGTGGGATGAGTTGTTACATAGTAGGTGTTTTTCTTCATGGTTTATATTCCTGAATGTAGCTATAGAGTTCACATACCTTTACAGCTGAACTGCTAAGAGAAATGTCAGTAATCAAACGTGTGTGAAAGTAAAATGAAGGTTTGATGGTGCCATCTGTGATATTTGCAGATTGATAAGAACTTGAAGTCTCTAGAGAGATGCCAGTCTTTGGAAGAGATCCAGCGATTGTATGAGTCAGGGGATTATAACGCGGTGGTGCATCTGCTTCGTCCGACATTATGCTTTAACGGTTATGGCAGAGCTAAGCATCTGGAATTTGTGACATCCATACCAGAGAGACCAGCACAGCTGCTTCTCCTGCAGGTTTGCTTTGTTTCTTAAAAATGCATTTTTAGTAAGAGACTGCAGCTGCTTTATTCTTGAAAACAGGATGAAAGGATTTGGAGAGTGGGTGTTAATGGGTAATGAGTCTCATTTACAAAGCAAACATGGAATCAAAGCTGTAAACAGCATAGCTTTATTGGCATCAGTATAACTATTGATAAATTATATTGATGCCATTATATGTATGTTTATCAATAGAGTCAATATAAAGAATTTACTAACTGAGAATTTTGCTAAGGTATAAGATGCCTAAGGCCTATGTGAAATCACCAAAAAGATCATAATTTCAAATAAACTTGAATCATTTGCAGAAGCATCTTATGGATGGATTTACACTATCTGTGTCTGCTGTGATACTTCCTGCTTTTGCTACTCTCAACTACATGGTGAATCACAAGCATTCTTTACCTGAAACTTGAGAGCTAGCTAGCATGTGAAGGATTATTTTGATGTATGCTCTTTGTCCTGCATGAGTGGCAAACTGTTGATAGCTGCATGCAGTATAATTGCTACAGATTATTTGTCCATGTAAGTGTCATCATGAAAATCAGTGTACAAATGGCCTCAGCTGTAGGAACAGTTTGAGTCTGTCAGGTTCTTAGTATTTTCTTGTGACTTGTTTTCTGTGATGATATTTTAACTGGACTGAGCCAAATCCTATAGCCTTCAGGCCATCTCATTGACCCAGACTTGGCAAAGAAGAAATAAGCAGGAGGATGTTGCAGTAATACTGGCCTTCTACTTGCTGCTTTGTTATTTATGAAGTAATAAAATGGTAGTACAAGATTATAATGACTGTAGGACCTCTATTCAACAGCATCTGGTTAGAATTTTAGGCCTACAGTCATCCCTTTCCTGAAATTTATTTTTCTTGCTTCTCTCTTATTTGAGCAGAAAGATGCAGTGAAGATTTTCTGAAATGGAGATCCTAGTTGTATATTTACCCTCCAGTATCCATGCTTTTCTTCCTTTTATTGTTCATTTTTATGTGATATTTAAAGGTGCTCAGTTACCATCGCAAAACAAGCTCGTTAACATTAGGTAGTACATTTTCTTCTCCTATTGTGCATTCATGGTTTGAAACAAGCCCTTCTTCCTTATAGTAGTTTTTTCATATGCACGTTCCCTAGGACTCCCTGCTCAAACTGCAGGATTACAAACAATGCTTTGAATGCTCAGAAGTTGCCTTGAATGAAGCAATTCAGCAGATGATTAACATGGCAGCAGCCTCTGCTAAAGAAGAGTGGGTTGCTACGGTAACACAGCTGCTCGCAGGAATAGATAGTTCACTGTCATCAGACAACAGCATCCTGAAGGACTCTTCTGTAACGCCAAGCCTTGTTCGATTAACAAATAACCTCATTCAGGTAACCTGTTCACCTGCACTTGAGCTGCTGTCGGAATTCCCACCCGCTCACAGTGACTGTTTTGTACTAGATTTTTGTCGGGAGAGGAACGGGTGTTACCTTCAGAATCTTAGTTTTCATTTCCATATGGTAGAGACATACTGACCACCTGCTCTGGAATCAGTAACAATAGCTAGCTTTAAACACTGAGCTTGCAGAGAACAGTAATAAGATAAGCCAAGGAGCAAGGCTGATTTCTTATGCTCTATTTGTAATGCTGATAATGCAGGGATTGATTTAGCTGACTGGGTGCAGTTTGTAAATTATGGCACCAATCTTGGCTGTATGTGCCTTGAACCAGAAAAAAGATCCTGTGAGTTTTAGGCACGTGACAGAGTTGCATCTAAGTACTGGCCCAGCTAAGTGTGGCTCAAGTCAAAATTGAGGGGGTGGTGAGGAGAGGGCAGAAAAAAGTCATGCGATGACTGTTTCTAGTGTTATGTTAACAGATAATGTATAGTCTTTTAGAGATGCTACTTTCAAAATTTTTAAAACTGAGAAATTCTAAGCCAAAGTAACACAAATGGCAGACTCTCAATTCTGTTCTTTAAGAAGCTTGTCTAGTTTATGTCAAAAATCAAAAAAGCAGGTTTTTAAATGTAAATAGTAGGTGCATTTCTCTAATAAATACTGGCCAAGTGGCCCATATTCTGTTTTTTGTTAGAATTTATTCAGTTGCATCTTTTGTGTGTTAATGATTCTGATTGATCTTTACCAGTTCTGATAAAGCTTTCATGTTGTCTTATTTATTTTTGAGTTCTCTTAACTACCTGCCTTTTCCTTGTCCTGTTATAGATAAATTTCTTATACAGTAATAATGCCTTTTAACATAAGAAATTCTTCTGTGCCTTTACTCATTTGGAGTTGTTTGAACGTGATACTAACGGAGAGATAACTAGCTGGAAATGAAATGACAGTGTAAGAGAAATGTCTGTATATGGAAAATGGTCTTCTGCTCTCCCCTGTCCCAGTTTATTTGTAGGACTTTTACACCCAGTCGTTGTGAGAAGCTTGAGACTCAACTTTGCATTATTTCCTTGGAGTAGAGTGCATTACCAATTTGTTGTATGGAAAGGATTCATACGTGACTCTAATACCTATCACTTTGTATGTGTAATGTCTGTTTCTTTACTAGATCATAGACTGCAGCATGGCAGTCCAGGAAGAACCCAAAGAACCATACGTCTCCTCAGTGCTTCCATGGATTATCCTGCACAGGATCATCCAGCATGAGGAAGATGCATTTCGATCCCTTTGCTGTCAGCAGCAGCAGCAGACTCAAGGGGAAGAAGGTAATTTATTTGCATTTTGTTTAAGCTTTGTTCCTCACAATCTACCTCTGGAAATGAGTGGGAAAATTCTTCTGTTTATCTTATTATCTTATTGGATGAAGGGAGTAGAGGGGTATACAAACATCACTTTCTTACCATGTAGGAAACTCATTCTAAGAGAAGTCTTTTTTGCTGAATAAAGCAGTGGCTACTTGGATTTAACTCAGTTTCCGTACTACTTAACTATTTACCAGTGTCTGTCTTTCAGCGAGTCCTGATACCCCTATGCTGCCTTCTTCTCTCATGCTGCTGAACACTGCTCATGAATATTTGGGAAGAAGATCGTGGTGTTGCAACTCAGATGGCGCTCTTCTCAAGTTTTATGTAAGTAGGAGTATTATAGAATAATTTAGGTTGGAAAAGACCTCAGGAGGTCATCTGGCCAACCTGCGTCTCAAAGCAGGGCCAACTTCAAAGTTATATTAAGTAGTTTATTATATTGCTAATGTCTGCATGTTAAAAATACATTTTTTTAATCTACTTTCCTCCTTCTTCCAGCTAAACACACAAATATTTTGGTCAATTTGATTAATGAAGTATTGTTATTGCACACTCCTGTCCATCATTACCCACTCTAAACAGGCCTTTTTGTAAAGACAGGAGATGCCCTTGCATAACAAACTTTATACTATAAATAACTTCTTAAATGGGAACTAGTAGAAGATCTAACTTGCCTTGAAAAAGTAAAGCACTGGAAAAGCGTTAAGTGCTTTTAAAAAAAAAAAAAAAAAGCACTTAAGAAAAGTATAGCCTTTTTTCAACCGGTGATCATAATAGAATTCAGTTGCATGATTTGAGACTTGTGGTGTTTAACCTCAAAAGACGTACCTTCTAATCCTTAAAAATGAACAGGGATAAGGTTTGTTGAGGTTAATACAAATTTCTTATCAGCCTTCATACAGAAGACTTGTAATGTGATAACTTATCATTGTTGTATATTCTTCCCTGTTGTAAGGTCAAAGGTTTTTTTCTTTTTAAAATGAATATCTAAAACTGCTTGCAGCTTGGGGTCAGGACTTGACCTGTGAGAGGGAATACCTGAGTACAGAATCTGTATCCAGTTTTATCTCCTTCTGTTGTGTCTGGCAGGTCAACAAGACCCCATCCTCTTTGCAGAAAAGGCTTACTCTGATTTAAGTTCCAAATTTTATTTTATATATTCTGATAACATTTTACTCAGTAACAACTCTAATTCTCAGCTGTCCTCCAAGGTCTTGGTTTTGCTTTGAGGAAGGTGAACACTCAACCCAACCTTACTGGCTGAAGAGAGAGGGAGCATGAACAATGTCAGGAAAAATAAGAGAAAGAGCAAAAGATTCATTTTCCCTGCTCACTTCTCAAATGTCTTGCTGCAAGGTGAGCTGCCTGAGTGCATGGAGCAGGCTTCCTGCTCCAGTCTTCCAGCAGTGACCTTGGCTGCTATCCCCTGAAGAGGAAATGAGCTAGGCAGGATAGAAATGGTAAACTTTGGGCAAACGACTTGTGCAACTCAGCAGTGCCGTCTAGTGGGTGTTCACTTCAGTCATCCAGACGGGAAAGAAGGCAGGTGGGCTTAGCAGAGCTTGCTCCAGGAATAGGTAGTCCTGATTGCCTGCAGAATGTGATGCCAGAAAATAATCAAACCATAGCATGGAGAACAAGCAAGTTAATTCCTCAGAAAGAAGGCCCAAATATCGTATGTGGACGAATGCCGTTGAAGCGATTGTTAGTAATGTCACAGTGCTTTTTCCTAAAAGGCCAACTTTCTCATATAGAATGCCACACCTTCCTCAGAGTTGAAATATTTGATAGTGGTTTGCAGTTTAGTGATTGTCACGCTCATAATCAATGACATTAGAAACTAAATTCTACTCACTTATGCATAGATGAGACAGACATGACAGTGGAAACTCTTGTTTCCTCCAGTGACCTGTTAATCAGTCTCAATTATGTTCAGGTCTACTTTTCTTTTTTCCTTAGTCCAATAATAGAAAGATAAAGAGGATTTGAAGTAACAGACGAGGAGGAAAGGGAATGGAAATACTTAGTGCAATGTAACCAGTCTAGATGTTTCCTATTAAACAATGCTGAATTCATAATGAATTTATTACAATGAATAGAACTTTTGAAGGTGTGCAATATTAAGAAGATAACAATCTTGTGCTTTGAAGGATAATCTGATCATTCATATGAAGGAAAAATATAGAAAAAATATTTTCAAAGCTTTTGTAAAGCATTGCATAGCTTGTTTTAATCATTGCAAGGTTTTTTCCTAGGTTTTGGTTTTGTTCTTCTCCAGAACATGAAAGTAGCTAGTTAAAGGTACAGAAAGAACTTGAGTGGAAACTGTGTTTGTGCTGAAAGGGGTGGAATGAGTATCCTTGACATGCCTTCCACATGTTATCAGAGACGGTAAATATAAAAATGCATGCAGCAGAGATGTGGATAGCTGGTCGTAGGGATGTGGATAGCTGGCAGCAAAGCAGAGCAGCTCAGCACGCGGAGTTCTCTTGGTTTTTGTTTTTAAGCAAAAATACTGTACGTGTTGCTTTCTGATGGAGTTTGAAGTGCTTTAAGTTAGCATATAGCATAATTAAAATTTGTAAGGACATTTTTCTGTCATCAGAGACTGTGAGACCAAAGTAATGACCTTTAAATGGAAGAATGTGGACATAGTGTTGTCTTACAGAAATATGCTGAAGTGTGATTTCTTTTCAGAAAAGCTAACAAGACTTTTGTTTTGTAAGTAATGCAGTACTGTGGCATTCATTGAGCAGTGCTCTACAGGGATATTTCAGTGGTGTGTCTCAGATTCAGCTTGACTTCATTGAGGTTTATTACCATCAGCTAAGAGAAAATCATGATTAGTTCTGCACAGAGCTACTCAGGAATCTCTTCATTTTCCTTCTCAGCGCTCCCTGGAGCTCATTAGCCACAGCTCAGTGCCAGAGCCCATCTACCTCTGCATTTGAGCAGCAGCGTGTCCAGGCCAGTAATTTAGCCAGCCAGGAAGGAAGGGGTGGAGAGCCTGAGGGCTTCTGCAGGAGTGGTGTCTCTCTGGCAGGGCTGGAGCTAATAAACAGAGTTTGAGCTGAAATTGCTTCAGTGTGAACTATTAGATTACCTCTGCATCCTGCTCTCCTCAGTCTTCCAAGTACTAGGAACATAATGCTGATACACCTGAGGTGCCTTCGCATGGATCTGCCTTGGGTCCAAAGGGCTTGTTAGCTCAGGCACTGTGCTTCGGGAGAAGAGATGAGCTTACCCTCCGTGTAGTATAGAAGAATCTTATGAGCAGTGCTCCTCGGTGTTGAGTCTAAATTGTGTCTGTACAGTGTGCCTGCACCCGCAGCCTGGTGAATCTGATAATATGCCCTGTGAACCTGGATAAGCTATAAATAATTAAGAACTGAATATATTTACAGTTAGGTCATTGCAAATGCTATCATGCACTTTGAAAGAAATCTTCAATTTTCATTCTTAGAATTGCCTGCTTCCTAAACTGAAATACAGTTTGGTGTTATTCCTCACAAGTAGTTAGTTTTCAGAGACAAAAGGGTGTTGGAGGGATGAGGAAAGGCAAGAATGAAACGGGATTAAAGTATTTAAAGAGAAAGAAGGCATGCTGGTGTGTTTCATAGACTATCCTAGCAGTAAGAAATGACCACCTTCTATAGGCGAACTATCATCTCAAGTACATTGTGTGGATTGTGGCTGAAGAAGACAGTGTTAATGAAAGACATTAGTGTATTGTTAACTCCTTTAGCAACAGTCAGAGCCAGAATTATTAAAAACAGTTCTGGGTTACTGCTAGGAGTTCAAAGGCTGAGCAGGAGCACAGGAGGTTGTTTTGAACGCTGTTCAGGTAATAATTCTGTCGCTGGTGTTTGCAGCAGTACCGTGCTTTTGTTGCTGTATTAGGTGATGTTTACATCTTCCTTTCAACATACTTATCTACACTTTACGCTTCTTAAATTTCAAAACCTGTTTACAAATTCAGGAAAAGCTGTGGAAATAAGGTGACTGCTGTGACTCGCATGTGGCTTGCTGTGACTCAACATTTCATTGAAGTACCTTCTAAGAATTGTCTTTTTTCTACCCTCATTTTATGTTTCAGGTTTTTGACTCTTAAAAATGATATCTTATTCTTAGCACAAATCTTTTAAGTATAAGAGAATTAATATCTTAGAATTAATTTCCAGCACTTACGGATGAGCTGCTTGTGTGCAGAATTTTGCCTCGTGATGCTCAGTTGGTAGTGCCAGGAAAGCCAGTTGCGAGAAGCCTATTATAGCATGCACTGTAGGCACAAATAATTGAGTTTGCCATCCTAGTGTACACTGAAGAATGATAAATGGTGATAGGCAGCTGAAGTACTTCTAAAGGAATTATGGTGCAAATCACAAATGGATGAATGTTTTTCATTTTCAAATTGTGACTGTGTACTTTCAGCAGTGGAAACTCTTGAATTAACCAGTGTGTTGAGGAATGGCTGTGGCTGTTTTGGAAAAGTTAGATCTTCCTAAAATGAAGAAGTGAAAGTTTATGCTTTCTATCAGAGGAAAAACATTAACACAAAATTACTTAGCAGCAAATAGGACTCTCCTGGTAGTATACAGCTTCTTACAACTTAGAGGCAAATCACAGTGAAGAATTAATATTTTTCTGTACCCTTCAGTCTCCCAAATGCTGGTTATAGCAGCATATCTCCTCTACCACCTCGAATGAGTTTTGTTCAGACAAAGCAGGTGCTCCCTAATACCAGTGTGTCTTTTTTTGAAGAAAAAAAAAAGCCTGTAGGATGCTTAAGATGATGTGAGTGGAATTTCCACTTACATATTTATGAATTTAAGTTTCACAATAGAACATAGTGGACTTGATCCTTAAACCTCAGTGGTTAAGTGTGGCTTTTGTTTTGCTTTTGAAATAAAGGTACACAATCCTGCTATCCAGGTTACTTTTGGTGAATGTGTTTCTATTTACTTTGGAATATCAAGATTGTCCCTGGGTATTTATTTTATTTATTTATTTTTAAGGAATCTTAGTGAAAATGTTCAAGGAATCGTCTCTTGGCATTCTATTCTGGGTTTTTTTTGTTTTTTGTTCTTTGTTTTTTCCCAACCAGTATTTCAGAGTAATAACATCTTCCAAAAATATGCAACTGATGGGTACTTTTTCATGTTATATTGAAGTGGAAAATAATAACTTTCAGCAGTGTTTAGTCTTTTTGGATTAATGAAGCTACTTTCCTTCATGCATAGCCATTTCTATAATATTATTTATACTGTGCAATTCTGTATTTCTTCTAGCCTGACTTTCATTAGTTATCTCTTCTTTTTGAGCAACGTCCTCTCTACTCCCCTTTCTCCATGAATAGGAAATTTATATTTGCATGTTAGAGCAGATGTCTTCTGTGCCTTTTTCTTGTGATAGCTTTGCTTAGTCACCGGGTTGGCAAGCTAGTGCTTATGTTCACAGAAGCAACTTGGTGTGCAGTGGAAAAGGAAATGTGGGAAGCTTCTAATGAGCTGGAGTCTGAAACAGTGATTAAAGACAGGAGTTCATGAATTAACAGAAAAAAATAAAAGCATTTTATTGCAGCTACAGTATAATTGAAATGATTTGTGTGAGATGATTAGTTTATAGAGATATGGTTAATATTTGGTTATATTTTGGAAAAAAATATGTAAAAATCCTTATGCTGTTCTCATCATCTGCATCTAGACATCTAGGTAAGTTAATGCAAGTTTCAGATCTCAGATGATTTGTTCATTGATATTTGTCATGTTCTAGGTTCAAGTACTACAAAAAGAACTTGCAGCATCTACTTCTGAAGATACTCATCCATACAAAGAGGAGCTGGAAACAGCCTTGGAACAGTGTTTTTATTGTTTATATGGTTTTCCTAGCAAAAAAAGCAAAGCAAGGTACCTGGAGGAACATTCTGTACAGCAGGTAAGATAGGTATTGTGTAATGTCAATGAAGTATCCTGAAGTGATGAAAGATACAATCTTGTTTGGTTTTAGTGCACCTTCAGATAACTGATGAGAAAGAGTACAGTTTCTTTCTTAAAATGATTTGATTTATTTATTGTGGAAAGTAAACTTTGGGTACGCTCTTAAAAATGTAGAAGATGTTATTAATATAGAGGGTCAGATACTTGAAGTGAAATGTTAGTCTTACTCATAGTCTGCCATTTTGAAACAGTTGACAAAATGATTTTATTGAGCCATGACTTTCCTGTTTTCAACAGAGAATTTTGCGCTCGAGAACAGTAGAGAGGAAAAAGTCAGCTTGAGAGAAGAACTTTAGCAGCCTACCTTGCAGTTTATGAATGTGAAAAATGTCACTTTTAAAAATGATGCAAGTAAATTATACTATAGCTTATTTTACAAGTCTATGATGGTGAATATTTGGTAGCTGATTATCACAAATATGTGGAATTCAGTTGAGTTTGGGAGATCACTACAGAATGCCAAGGGAAGAGGGTTGCAGTATTAAGAGGAGCAAAAAAGCAGGTCAGCAATCCTGTACCTGAAACATAATTGACTTGTTAAAAACCTCAGATGATTTTGCGTTTACCAAATGCAAGTGGTTATAAAATTATAAATAAATGACAGCTTTATACAATCAGAACAATTACCTGGCTTCTTTGACAGGCCTTATAAAATACACGAATGCTGTTATAATTCATTGAGTATTTGTGAATTCTCTCTTAAAATTTTCTCTTTGACAATTAAGATAATAAGTAGATGGGAATAGCTGAGGAAAAGGGAATTACGGGGAGAGTACCCTCTGCCAGAAACAATCTGTCACATTTGGGCAATTATGGATGAAAAAGTCCTTACTGAAATCATTGACAGATTGATTTTTAGTATACCTGTGACTTCCCTGTTTTCAGTGGAGACGCAGAACTTACTGGTGGGGATGAAATGAACAAAAAGAGAAAAAACTCAGCCCGGAAGGAGAAAACTGAAAAACTTACTTTTCAAAAAGAAGAAAAATGAAGGGAGAAATGAGGAATGAACTGAAGTGAAAGTGCCTCTCTTCAGAGAGTTTTTAAAATGTTTAAGTCTCAAAATTTTGTCTGGCAGCCCTTTCATTTATTTGCCTTACTTGAGTTTGGAGTTTAAGCTGTAGAGCAAGCGTAGCTATTCTTTTCTTCCATTTCTTCCCCATGGTTTCAGTGTCACTCAGGATGCTTGGAATTGATTTTTTCTCATAAACAACTTTTCTCAGTAGCTCTTCTACTAAGCAAGTAGAATGACTTTATTTTTCAGTGACGTTGACTAAGTTACAGCCCAATGCCTTAGCCGTTAATCAGTGAGAAGTTATAATGTTGTATTTGTGAGCAGCATATACTGAGTGGCTTTACTTCTGTTCTTGGGAGGTTTAATTTGTTTCCTGCTAGAGTAATATGTATTTTGTGCTAACTAAAAAAGCCAAACAAACTAATCTTTAGTAGACTTTTGAATTTTAGAATTTGAGATAATTTTTTCCCCTCTCATCTTCCTCCCTCTTTAGGTGGATCTAACATGGGAAGATGCCTTATTCATGTTTGAATATTTTAAGCCTAAAACGCTTCCAGAGTTTGATAGTTACAAAACCAGCACTGTGTCTGCCGATCTGGCCAACCTTTTGAAGAAGACTGCTACAATTGTTCCTCGAACAGACAAGCCTATGTTGAGCTTAGATACTGTCTCTGCCTATATTGAAGGAACATGCAGCAAGGTATAACTAATTATTAAAAAAAAATATGTTGTTATTGCGTTATTTTTATATTGACCATGAGGTGGTTTGAGGAAATGATTCACCCCGTGATGCTGGATTTCCTCAAAGAATTGCGTTTAAATGAAATAAGAATGACACTCCAAAGCTTTTGGTCTTGAAACAGCAAGGTGTAATGCTGATTAACATGGAGCTAGTATGAGATGTTCATTAGTGTTAGTGCTCTCTATAGCTCTGGAATGTTTTCACTATCTTGATATTCAACAGCTTCATGTTTTGTGACAAAAAAACTATTTCCACTTCAAGAAAGAAGCAAGTGTGCAGCTCTAGTAATATGTATGCTTTATTAACCTTTGTTTGTTTATTTTTCAGGCGCCATCTCTCCCAGATGGTGCAGACTATTCTCCACCAGTAGTCACTGAGTTGTACTATCTTCTGGCAGACTATCATTTCAAGAATAAAGAACAGTCTAAAGCCATTAAATTTTACATGCACGACATTTGTATTTGTCCGAACAGGTCAGTGTTGTTGAATCCTGCTGCACGTTATTCATTCTTCTCATTTCTTCAGTGCCGAAAAGCAGTCAAGTGAGAGATTGATGTCCACTTCAAGATTAAGACACTAGTCTGCAATCTATGACTATAAGTAAATTATATAGTTAAAGGCATCTTTAAAACAAACCAACAAACAAAAAAAATCTCATGTTAAATATTTGATAGTTTGCAAACTTAAAACCAAAGAGGATGAAAGAGTGGGGGGGAAAAGCTGAACTATAATCAAGGATAGCTGGAAAGTGCGAGGATTAAATCACTATTCCTTCTCTTTTGCACCTTTTGTTCTTAGTTTTTGGCATTTTTATGCATGCCAAGGAATGAAAGAAATACCACTGTTTGACAGCATGAAGGACACAGATATAACTTCTTAAAAGATAATCTATTTAAGCTGACTCTTTTCTAATATGAATATATTTTGCTACTAGAGAGCTACTCAGAATCAAGCCTGAGCAGAGCATTTAGGTGATATTTAAACTTAACACTTTCTTCTTGCTAGCTTACAGCTTCTGAAATACCAGCAAGATTAAGTTTTCTAATCTTAACGATAAAGTTCTAGACTCTTCTAGACTGAACTACAGAAATCTTAAAATTTATTGATTAAATTTAGGGCTTGCATATTAGATACTAGCTGTCAGTTTAATTCTTGTTGAAATTGATAGATAGATTAGGCTCAATGGCAAAAGCCCTAGCTTGACTGGTTTGAGAAAAGAAACTATTTCTGAGTTCAGGGACGTAGCAGAGACAAAAGGGAAAGTGAAGTTACAGAGCAGTTTTACAGGTGATCTACGGAGGAAATAAGATGTACTTTTTTGAATTTGCTAGCCTGGGAGCTGTGACTAGATCACTAAAGCTTTTTGTTTGAAGCCTGATAAATTACAAAAAACATTTTTTCTATGAATTAATAGGGTTTTTTTGAAGCATCAAACCTATAAGTAAATGACAGTGCTATGCAGATTGACTTTAATCTATGACATTTTGTTGCTTAGAAGTTTTATGTGGTAGCATAGTATTTGTATCCCAGTCATCTCAGATGTTGCTTCTTCAGCTGTCTATATGACAGGTCCCCTCCCTTTCTCTTCAGGAATATGTCTTTTAGGGTCACCTGACACAGGAATAGGCTTGTAGTTGAAGTAAACAAGGCAAAATGTGAAAACATTATGAATATGACTATTTCTTTGGTGTTAGAATCGTGCTATAACGGAAAAATTCCAGATTCATTGGCCCCAATTGCTAATTTAAGATTACGTAATATGGAAACTGCTTTTCACACTGTATTGTCAATGATTTAATAAAAACAAGGCTGGATACTCAACTAAATCCTCAGAAAGCCATCTTTTCTGTATTGTTCATCAGAATTTTCCTATTGGAATGTATTTTGATTTGTGTGATTTTTATGTTGGAAAATAATCATAAAGACCATTCACTGTTCAGTCCAACAACGTAAAATGTCATAATGGCTGTCTGCTGGCCTGCAGAAACGGCAGGGTGCTTGAACAGGACAGCATGGCTACTGAGAAAAGAAATCAGTGGGCGTGCTGCCATTGGAAATATGGATGTGCTCTTTTTGTATGGCAAATAATATTTTTCATATGTGAGAGTTACTAGGGATAGTGCTGTATTAAGAAACCATTTTACATAAAATTCAGTGTGATTTAGATTTTTACAGAGTCTTTTTCGCTGTGAGGAGAAGAGGAGGTGAAGAAATCTGTTTTGGGAGAGCATATGATGAAGAAAATGTTGGGAAATAGCAAAATGAGTATTTTCTTTGTCATTGACGGTAATGCGTAGGGAGTGGTTCATGTCTTACGTTCTTGCTTGCATAGGTTTGATTCATGGGCTGGCATGGCTCTGGCTCGAGCAAGTCGTATTCAAGACAAGTTGAACTCTAACGAACTGAAAAGTGATGGCCCCATCTGGAAGCACTCTACACCTGTCTTGAATTGCTTCAAGCGAGCCTTAGAGATTGACAGCTCTAATCTCTCCCTGTGGATTGAATATGGCACCATTTCCTATGCCCTACATTCATTTGCATCCCGACAGCTTAAGCAGTGGAAATCAGAACTCCCCCCTGAAGTTGTGCAGCAGGTGGGAGCTACTTTCGAGCAGTGCAAGCTTTTAAATGTTTATATATATTTAACCTAACAACTTTCTAAATTAAATACTTATATGCTCTATATTACATCCTAGACTGTATGAATACTTATCAATACTGGAAATTCTGATATTCATTTGTATAAGCTACTGGTGTCAAAAACCATTGAAAGTTTTATTTGATTCATTCTCTTGCAGAAAATCAGTTTGAGCCTGACGTTTGAATCGTCTTTTAAAGATTATACAAAATTATTTTAACCTTTACAATAGGGAAATTATATTTACTTTGCCTTTTGGTAAATGTTATGCATTTTTGCCAAGAGAAGATGAAATGAATGCCTCCTTAAATAGTGGAAAAGATCAGGAAAATGTTCTGTTATCTGTGTTCGTATGTCATATCTTGTGTTCAAAGACATTCCCCCTCCCACCCCTTTTTTTAGGTTTTTGGGTTATTTACTTAAACACAAGATCAAAATAAGGAGCTCAATAGATTGATTTTTTTTTCATAGAAAGTTATTGTTTAGTAATTGCACTAGCTTTTTATGTATAACAGTGATTAAAAAGTTTTAGTGACTATGAAGTTTATAGCTGAGCCAAAATGAGCAATTGCAAATACTCTCTATGACCTTGATAGAGTTGTTAGGGGAAGTGTTTTGTCTGTTCTTTTTGGCCAGTAAACTCAATTTCTGGTGCCACTGCTCTGACACACAAGTATTATATAACAAAGAATTGGAAGCTGAAGAAACAAAGAAATGCTGCTAGTCAGTGCCTATATAAAACTTTATTAGTGTTTGAATTGTAGCGAATTGAATTGGGAACATCCACTGTTTCCAGAGGGGGTGTATTTGCATCAAGATGAAAGGCAGCTCAGATGCAAGAGCTATATAGCTGCATTAACATTGTGCTCCGCTTAGACTCTTACACAGCAACTGATTCTGCTAAACAAGCAGGTGGTGAAAACATGCATATTAAAGAGAAGCAAATGGTTTATTAAATGGTGTTTTTGAGTAGATGTATACTTGCAACTTGCTAGCATGCTCAAATTCACTTTCTTGTTTTCTGTTTATTCAGGAAATATTAGTGAAAAGACAGATGAAAAATCAGGCCACAAACCTGTCTTATTTTCCTGATCCAGTCTTTAGTTTTCCTGTTTCTACTGCAAGAATTTGGGAAGGAATGCTTACTTTAGAAAGCAAATAAAATCCAGGATTCTTTCCTGGAAGATGTATTCTGTCAGATGATCATGCTAATTGTTCAGATTGTATGTTTATAGTTGTCATCTTCTTTGTAAATAAATATATTTGATTAGAATTGAGAGGTGAAAATCATGGAAGTTCTCTATGCTAATTTTGCAATGTTGCTTCAGAACATAATCAGTTTTGGTGATACTTACTGTATCCTCTTTCTTCCTAAGTTTAATTTGTCTCCCTTCCTATGGGAGAGCAATTTTATTATTTTATTTTTACTTATACTTACTTTTATACTTTAAATGTATTTATACTCCTGAAGACAGACATCAATATTGTAATTATTAATCCTCACGTAAGTACTTTCTCAGCCAACCTCTGCAAAGGTCACTACTCTAAGTCCAAGCTTTTCTCAGTGTTGTTACTCTGTGTTCAAAAATGTGAATGTGTGGCATGACAAGTAACAGTACAGTTTTCTTCCTAAATGTTATTTGTTAATAACATCTGAGAGCTCCAAAATTAACTACTCAGAAAATGACGCTATTACATTTCATGCCCTCATTCCACCAAAAGTTTGATCTTGCTGTCTTTTGGTCTCTTGGCTGTGATGGACTTACTGAAGAAATGCATGGCTAATGCTGGAGTTATTTTTTTATCATCAGGTTTACGATGCAGTACAGAGTGTTCTATATATAAGATCAGAATATTTATTTAGGACTTCTTCAGCCCTCTTTTTTCAGTTGAAATTATGAAAAAGCATAATTTTCTAAGAAGAGCTCCACTATAAAAAAAGTAAATTGGAACAAACTGATCCCCCTTCCAGGGATACGTCTATTCAGGAATGTGTTTCTTGTATAAAATCACTATGTCCTCTATTTAGAAGAGTGATTCTTACAAAATATTAGTGAAGAGAAAGGCTAAGTTATAGTTCCTTAGGTGCAACAAGCACTTAGGATACTGTTATAGCCCAGCAATTTAAATTTATAAATATTTTCTTCAAAGATATAAAATAACTTTTATGCATCTTTTGGCCTCATCTTTAATGTGGCTTTATTGGCAGTTAACTTGAATTTATGCTACTCCTTTTTTTTTTTTTTTCCTTCCCTTGAAAAAAAGAGTACACTTTATTTTTATGTATATATATGACACAGTTAGGTGTATAGTATGCATGATAAAATATATTTCTTTCTGAATAGTGGTGGTTTGTAGTGACTTGTAGCAGACCTTAGTTGCAGAACAAAGAAAATAATTCTTTTCCTTTTAAGAGTTACACAATTGCAATGATGAAAAAGTGGTAAGGTTATTTTCCGTGGACATGTTTGTTGTTTTTCAACAAGTTTACTTTTATGTGCATGTTCTTACATTTTTGTCTTACCATTTTATTCTGGTTATTTATGTCAGGAGCTGTTGGAACGAGCAAAAAACTACCCATAAACACCATACTCTGTGGGTCTTCCAGATGTATTTGATCACCTGGATGTAATTCCAGGTCTTTTAGGTTGAAAATATTTTAAGTGATATACCTTCTTTATGCCCTTTTATGTGCAGGAGCGTATTTTTTGCATCATTTGTCCCAGCCATAGCACGTTCTTGTATTCTCAGTGTTTCAGTCCATCACAGATGGAAGAGCGTCGAGACAGCATGTTGGAGACAGCCAAACTGTGTTTTACATCAGCATCGCGCTGTGAGGGAGATGGTGATGAAGAAGAGTGGCTTATTCACTACATGCTGGGAAAGATTGCAGAGAAGCAGAAACAGCCTCCTGTCGTCTATCTACTTCATTACAAACAGGCAGGTCACTACCTGCATGAGGAAGCTGCGCGATATCCAAAGAAGATACACTACCATAATCCACCAGAACTGGCCATGGAAGCACTGGAGGTAAAAGAGGGAAGTAAAATACTTAAACTTGAAAACATTGTTCTCTACAGGTAACAGAATAACTATTACTATTAATTCTTGTTATTAGGCGTATGTTAATGATGCTTTGCATCTGGGAACGTTTGCAAGACTAATGCAGAATAAGATCAAATGTGTTATTCAGATTATTTTTGCTTTAACGACAGCTTATATATACATTCACAATATTGGACAGACAGACAGAATTTCTGCTTCTGGAGTTTGCTGCCCTCGGTTTGTTAGTTTTCAGTCTGTGTGGATAGGTTTCGCCATTATCTCATCTCTATGTCACCATAAGGTCATGCATCAATTTGAATAATAGTCATAACACCTTTGCTTCTGCTGTGCAGTCTGGTAAGAATAATAGATCTGGAACCTACCCAGTGGTAGCCATCCACATCTGCTTTCATTGTTGTATTCCATAGGTTGCAGGGGGGCTGTTTCAGATCTTCTCCTTTACAAGCAACTTACAGAGGCAGGAAAAGTCCTGTTTAAGTAAGCTTAGGTAACAGACAACTGTTATTGCAAACTCCTGCAGTTTCTACAGAGAAGGACTACTTGTAACTGCTTGCAGAATTACAAGTTTTCTACTGACTGAATGGACTTTGGTGTTTTCTAGGTATACTTTCGACTTCATGCTTCTATTTTGAAACTTGTGGGGAAGCCAGACTCTGGAGTAGATGCAGAGAGACTGGTTAGTTTCATGAAAGAGGCTTCTGAGGGACCATTTGCCAGGGGCGAGGAGAAGAACACCCCAAAAGTTGCAGCAGAAAAGTGAGTGCTAATTTCCAGGAATATCCTCTGAAAGTGTACATGTTCCAAATAAGAGCAGGTTATTTGCGTGAAATATCTTCATAGACAGCTATGTGAATGCTAAACTATTGTATAATAAAGTTTTTAAATGAAGGTGCATGAAATAGAAACCCAAAGTGATTAGAATTAACTCTAATGTTTGCAGTTTCCAGGTATCTCATACAGTTAGATTATATGCTCGTCTGAAGTCTTTCCAATAATTGGCACAGTGTAGTCAGCAAGGGAACAAATTGGAACAACTTCTATCTTGTGATCTGTTTTGAAGCCACTGTTCTTATTTTATTTAAATAATTTTATTAACTATGGGCAGACCCAAAAGCAAATGACTTTTGGGCATAGCTTAAATAAGAGACTTTAGGAATTTAGTCCTTGTAATTTTTTTTGTTAACAACTGTAAGATAAAGAATGTTTCCCTATTGATCAATGATCGGGAGAAATATCACCTGTGCTAAAAATCCATCATTTAGAATTTACTAGTAAGATTTGATTACTGTGTTGGAAATATCGTAAGAACATAGTCTCTTTCTGTTCTGTGTGTGTGTGTGTGTATTTATATGTATGAATACACACCTAGTATGTTAACACTCTTAATTTTTTCTCCCTCTTTCCAGGGAAAAGACTTGCATGATTGATGAAGACTCTCACTCTTCAGCTGGAACAGTGCCGGGCCCTGGGACTTCCCTCCCCTCATCCTCTGGTCCAGGTCTGACATCCCCACCTTACACAGCCACTCCAGTTGACCACGATTACGTCAAATGTAAAAAACCCCGTCAGCAGGCAACGCCGGATGGTACAGTCCCTGTTCTCAATACTGGCAGCACAGGGAGGTGCTCTAATCATGGGAGGTTTGACCAGGAATGATCAAACTGCTCATTCAAGGAGGGTGATGGGTCTGTGGTAACACGGGCAATATTGAAGCTCATTAACTTGAAATATTCATGGTGCTTTAAAAAGAATCAATGCACAGTCAGAGCTTTAAATATAAAATTCAAAGTTGTCACCTGCCACCATTGGCACTTGTCGTTTACTCTAAACAGGAATGTTGAGGGGAGTTTGTAGCTGACTGAATTTTCAATATTTTTCCCATCTCTAGAGCTAAATGTCTGCCTCTGGAGCTTATTAGAAAAGATGTGGATTCAGTCTTTAGGCACTGAAATTGTGTTCAGTCTTCTATGTGAACTGACCAGGTGAAAATCTGAACTGTGGGTGAAACAAGACAAACCATTAAAAAAGCAAAAGAAGGCAGGATTATCCTTTTTTGAAGGAGGCAGGTGGCAACTGTATTGAATATATTGTGTATCAACGCAAAGTGATTTGCATGATATAGTGTGATAGACTCCATCTTTTAATTTTTTTCTTTATCATTTACAGTGACTGGTTAGCAGCTCATCTCTATAGGTTATAAAGTGATATCATAAATAATTGGCTTATAAAACCAGAAGGTAGGGCAGTATCACAGTGTCATTGCAAAAATTTTGCAATATATAATACACTTAAACAGTAACTTAATTTCTGTTATATAACTTGAGGTTATTATTCGGCTAGAAATTTTATTCTGATACTACTCTTCTGCCCATTTGTTTATCCATCTGGATCTATTAGTATCAGCGCTCAGGAAGGAGCAAAGTATTTGCAGTGCATAGCTTAGTACTGGTAGAACGTGGCAGGCTCCATAGAAGTGCTCTGCTTGATACCAGTTTATTTCTGGAGGGTGGGCTGCTACCAGGCGTATTGTCATTTTTCTGAAGAACAGTAATAATAAACGTTCTCTTATTGATGCAGTTCTGAAACAAACATGCACACGCTTGGAAACTCTGCAAGGTACATTTGTTCCTTTTTTCCACTAACAGATAATTCTTGGGGAAACTGGCAGAAGTTCCTTCATTTCTTTTCACTACATTGAATATAGAAACGTTCATTTTATCCATGCTCCCATTTCAATCTGAAGTAATTCATTGGACTGTTTTGCGATAATCTATAGTGTAGTAATGCAAATAAGTTATTTAGTGGTCAGGTTCTTCTGTTGCTTAGCCTTTTGATGCCTTTTTGACAAGGCAAAGAGAGAGCAAATATTTAAATATATCCTAAATAACATGTCCTGTGAGGAGCAGTTCTGCCTAGAACTACATCTGTTTAGGTCCTGCAGGCTGATGAAATGTTCCCGGGAGATAGATAAGTTAGATGGATATTCCAGCATGTCATTAGTACGTTCACTCGGAATAAGGTATTATGGGCTGTGGCATAGTAATTGCCTGATGGGAGCAAAGTTGGCTACTTAGCAAAGCCTGAAGGTGCAAGGTAAGGAACATCTACACCTGTCAGGCCTGAAGGAGCGGTTCTTAGGTCTGCTAGCTTAGCTAGCTAATGCTTAGCATTGCTGCTGTCACAGCGATTGGAAACGACAGCTGCTGAAAAGACCCAAGTTAGGGTGGTCTTTACGATGGCTGTGTGTAACTATGGCAAGTAGAATTGCAAAGCACTGCATCATTCATAATGTTTTGTAAGTTGCTGGCAAAACTAAACTCTGGATACAGCATATTGAAGAGCCCCAGGAAATTGAAATATTTGCCTTGGGGCTGCTGCAGATGGAAGGAGAGCTAACAAGCTGAGCAGTGCTCAGAAGCCTTCCACTTTAATATTATTACGTATACTGTGCTCCTTTGCATGTATTTGCATTTTACTTGTATTAAAATAGATACTTTTGAAGTAAAATGCTCTTGACATCTTGCATGTAATCACATCACTGAAGACGACTGGTGCCTGCATTTCCATTTTACTGTTCCTAAAAATAGCAAGGAAAAAAAACATCATTCAGCTACTTTTTTGGTTTTTTAACTATTCTGACAGCAATTGAGAGTGTCTATTTTGCTGTTCACAGACAAGACAGTTTGGCCCAAATTCAGCCTAGATATTTATTCCTTCTGTGGCCTGGCAGTGCTCTTATTTACTCTTGTATCATTGTTGTTGATCATATACAATATAAACAAAACAACAGAATTGTCTAGACTGTCCCTCCAAAATTCTTGTCTCGTATTACCACAAGCAAACAGTAGTTCAGCAACGACTGGGATCCCATTCAGCCAACCTGATGAGGCCCGTTTTCTCCCTTTTTGAGTGCTACAGCTGAAGAAGAGGAGACCTGTGAGGAAAGAGAGAAGGAATTGGGTTATTCTAGGGAAGAAAGGTTAGTCTGCAGAAGGAGAGTCTGAGGGCAGGCATGACAGCAGGGTTCCCTAAATAGTATCAAAGTCTGTATGAAGAGTTAGACGACAAAAAAAAAAACAAGTTTCCCAGCTTTCCTTATCCACGAGGGACAGAACAGAATGCATTAGACTTGAATTCCATTAAGAAAAATTCGATCTAGAGTTTAGAAAATAGTATTAGAATAGTATTAGGAAGCATTTACTAAATACCAGTGAAACCCTTAAACGTGTTCCCGGGAAGAGTGTAATACTGGAACACTTAACACTGAAAGTCTTTAAGAAAAAGTGATATAACCATCTGCCAGGAAATCCTGTTGGAAAAGAGAAAGGACTAGATGAGTTCTTGAGGTCTCTTCCAAGCCCTATTTTTCTGTAATTTTTTTTAACAAAATCTCTGCCAGTGTGCCTTCTAGTGCAGCAAATTATCTCCATACAAGCAGAACAGAATTACTGTATAGCCTGAAATCTTTTATTCAAAATATTGGGACTCTGATCTCCAAGTATGCCTCTGTAGATAGCTGCAGCTGTGAGAGCAGGCTTATTTCAGATACATCAAATATGTCCTTATAGTTTTGTAGCTCTCCAGCACTTTTGGGTGTGGAAAAAGATGATCTGGATGTGCATAAATCACTGTCACAGTTGAGAGCATTGAAAAGCTTTATATCCAGTGAATGTTGGTGATGCTGGTTTTAAGTTATGCGTTTCGTAAAAATGGGAGAAAGGAATCAGTAAATATAGCTTGTAAAGTAACTAAACTAAACTCTTTCTCCTCATGGCAGCTGTTATCCCAAATCTCCTTCAAGGAGAGAGAAGTATTGCTGAGTGGCAGCTGTTATTTGCCAGCTGACTAACTGCTGCCATGTGTGTAAAATAGGCAGCTTCTTTTCTCTTTTCTTGTCTCTCCCTTCAGCAGCATCTTTTCGTCCCTTCTGTTCATCCTGTCTTTCCTGGTGTCACCCCATCTGTTGCTGTTTTATAACCCACCCACAGTCGTCCCCTCCTTCCCTCCCCCCGTGAAAATGTGCATTTAATAGTAGAAGCCTGAGACTTAGACTCTTCCCACTCCCACCCCAGGAGGAAACTAGGAAACAAGAGGAACGGGGAACTCAGCAGGAACCTGATCTTTCATTATGTGGGATATCACCAGATTTAACCTGCACAGCTCCATGGCCAGTGTTCTGTATGGAAGCAGACTTTCTCATTGCCCTCCTTTAAACAGGCTGGATGTGTATAGTCATCAAAAAAAAAGCAGAGTACAGGCTTCAAGCTGTCAAAGTTTAGCTAAATTTTGCACTAAATATTGAAGTTAGTTCAGAAAGCAATAGAAGAATTTAAATAAAAGAAATCTGAAGTACGGCTTCCAAAAAGTAGACTAGGAGATTGCTGTGAGGTTTTTATTTTGTTTCTGAATATGCCTTTTGTTGTGTTGCTATTCAATTACAAATTATTGTGGTTTTATACAGATGATGTATGCAGTACTCGTTGCTACTGCAGTGTTAAAATGTCTTATCATTTAAATCTTCATCCGTGTCATGTAGTATGTTATGTGTAGTTAGATGTAATCATCCTATTTTTGTGTTTGTCTTTGCCTGATTGCTTTTGCAACCAATATTGCCCGTGCTGCCTCTAACCTTTACACAAATCTCTGTTCCCCAGGCATTCTCTTCCTGCTTTTACCTGTCACGGCTTGCTTTTAATAATTGGCAAAACCTGCATGATAAACTCACTGGGAAAGCCTACTTGCTTCATGCTGCGGGAGAAGTCCCACTTCATCGTTTGTTGGTCCTGTAATTCTGCAAATGCTATAATGCTGCACTGTGTGTGTGTGTGTAAATGGGGGTTCTCAACTTCCTGATGAGCCAAAGATGATCTCTAAGACTCTTTTTGCCCCAAGCTGTCACTTGTGCCAAACTAAGTGAGCTTCAAAGAGGGAGTGGATGTTTCTGTGCATAAAAAGAATGTCCACATTGCATTTTGTAAATGAAACTCTTATCCTTCAAAATTCCCTTTCTTACAGTTTAGAATGAAAGCTTCATGTCTGCAGTACGTGTGCCATTCTAGCACATGGTGCTGGATGTGCATGGGGACTGTTTACGAGGCTACATGAATGATGAATCAGATCCATTCTGTTTCAGTATGCTCAGTTTTTACTTTTCCCCAATTTAACCTGTCTCTGAATTTTATTTTGTAATGAGTTGGAGTGAAAGCACTTAGTATGAGGTTATATAAAAAGGATTTGACTAAAGAAATGGAACACTGGTAAGCAACTCTATTGCTCTGCACTTCAAGATGGAAGAACAGCAGCAGTACAGGACTGCAAGTTACTGAAACACATTGAGTGATCTGTGCAGCTGGACAAAACAAGCTCTCATCTTTGACTCATTTTTATAAGAGAAGTCCCTTCATACACTGAGCGGACCTTATTGTCCTCAAGAAATTACCTGCTCCCATGCAAAACTGCAATTCTTTTTTGTTTTTAATATGTGCATTTTGATAAAGAGCTGAATGTTGTCTTCTGTTATGGGTGGAACTTGTCTCAGGAATGAGAGCTGTGAGATACAAGTGATGCATCATGCTTCTGACTATG